GGAAATACTCCCACCTATCAAAAGTCGCCACAGAGCCAGAGTAGAGGAAGGAAGATCCACTGCGATATGGTACGAACAAGCCACTGGGTACTCTTTGACCTTTGACCCAAATATCACAGTAACATGGTTATCGCGAACTCCATTACGGGTTCACTATAGCACGTGCTATATGGAAATTTGAGTTCCAAGTAGCTAAATCTAAAACAACAATAACAAATAGCCTAAGCTACTCAATCATTTTGACTTACTCCTGCTCATGCCACCTCTTGGGCGGCTCAATCTTCATTCATCAATCAATCTTTTTGAGCTGAATTTCATTGCCATTGTATTGAATATATGTGAATGAGTTTTGGTGGCTATGAATAGAAGCTGCCACGTATGAGCCAACAAGTTACAGCCCCGCTCCTGTGCCAGGTAAGTCCACTACGGGCTCACCATAGCCCATGCTACTTGGAACTTTTTGTTCCCAGTAGCTGAATCTTAAACAACAACATATGAGCCAACACGGGAGACATCTCCCGTCAGGCAGGGTGCAGTCGCACCTCCACAGATCTCCAGTATCAGCTCTTGATACTGGTAATGGCTCAAAAGGGCCACTACTTACGGGCTATTCATGCCCGTGCCACATTTTGAGTGGCTTAATCTTCATCAATCAATTATGAGCCAACAGGCCTTCCGCAGTTTCCTTCATTCTTACGTTATGTTTAGTAAATACAAAGACGAAATATTGATTTAAAATACCGTTCATCTCTGTCATTATCAGTTCAATTTGTTATCGCCATACTACAAAATGGGGATAAATTAACGAATGAGTATGTAGAAGGATTACAGTTAATTCCGGGAATTAAAAACTTCCCATTAAAAAGAGATTAAGAAAGTTTAATTGAGGTTCCCTAGAGAGGCGAAGTTACATGACTGAAGGATATATGTCTAACCTACTCCTAATTCAATCATGTGATCTCAATTCTATTAGATTTCCCGGCAATTTGTTCCATGTGCTATATTTTACGGTGGAATAAAGGCACCAAATGAAACCAAGAGTTGGTAATGGAGATGGAGTTAAGTCAAGAGTGGGAAACTTAATCTTCATCAATCAATCAATCGAGTGGGAAACTGTTGACAGTGGAGTGCCTCAAGGCTCAGTCCTGGGACCTCTCTTGTTTATGTTTATAATATACTATATTATATATTATATATATATAATGTTGTACCTAGTAGCCAGAATGTACTTCTCGGCCTAGTATGCAAGGCCCGATTTGCCTAATAAGCCAAGTTTTCCTGAATTTATATATTTTTCTATTTTTTTTCTTATGAAATGATAAAGCTATCCATTTCATTATGTATGATTTTTTTTTAATTTGAGTTAAAACTAACGTAGAAATATGACCAAACCTAACCAACCCTACCTAACCTAACCTATCTTACGCTAACTTAAACTAGCATACCTAAGTCAATACTTTATGCTCCTAATATAATGTAATAAGAATATTTCAAATAAACCAACTGGAAACAATATTTTGAAAATAAAGAAAATCACTCGGCCTATTAGGCAAATTAGGCCTTGCATAGTAGGCCTAGAAGTGCGTTCTGGCTACGACATTTTATATATATATATATATATATATATATATATATATATATATATATATATATATATATATATATATATATATATATATATATATATATATATATATATATATATATATATATATATATATATATATATATATATATATATATATATATATATATATATATATATATATATATATATATATATATATATATATATATATATATATATATATATATATATATATATATATATATATGCATATATATATATATATATATATATATATATATATATGCATATATATATATATATATATATATATATATATATATATATATATATATATATATATATATATATATATATATATATATATATATATATATATATATATATATATATATATATATATATATATATATATATATATATATATATATATATGCGAACAAGCTTGAATGATCCCCAAGCCAATATGCAACCGAAAACTGCGTTTGCATATTGCCTTGGGGACCATTTAAGCTTGTTCGCATTTGTGTTGCTCACGTGGCCTCAATAAGTGAGGTGAATCGATGCAATATCTGTGTGCTGGACCATTATCATGTCGACGGGAGACATCTCCCGTCACGCAGGGTGCAGTCGCACCTCCACAGATCTCCAGAATCAGCTCTTGATACTGGTAATGGCTCAAAAGGGCACCACTTACGGGCTATTCATGCCCGTGCCACCTTTTGGGTGGCTTAATCTCCATCAATCAATCAATTATCATGTCATCACACGACGTGATAATGCTCCACGACCGACCCAAGCGTCGTCGTTTCTCCATCTTCTTATGCCGACCACTTGGGCTGGCCGGTAGAGCGACGGTCTCGCTTCATGCAGGTCGGCGTTCAATCCCCTGACCGTCCACAAGTGGTTGGACACCTTTCTTCCCTTCCCCACACCGTCCCATCCAAAATCCTTATCCTGACCCTCTTCCCAGTGCTATATAGTTGTAATGGCTTTGCACTTTCCAGATACGAGGCTCACCATAGCCCGTGCTACTTGCCCCGCTCCTGTGCCAGGTAAGTCCACTACGGGCTCACCATAGCCCGTGATACTTGCAACCTATGTCAGTAGCTGAATCTAAAAACAACAACTACAACGGCGCTTTCCCCTGATAGTTCCCTACATCTCCTGGTGTGGGGTTTGGTCATCTACCATTAATGTACAATGTAAATACATCGTTACTGAAATGGAACAATCTCTGTAACCAGATGACATTATAATTATGAGGTGTGCAGAATAGATATAATTGTTAATGTAATAATCTCCGTTGATGTCTAATAAAGACCTTTTGTATCCTCTGTAATCCTTTTTGCGCTACCGCTCACAGGACGAGTATTGGGTGCACAATAAGCTAGCCGCCTCCTGCGGCGTCAATCAATCAAGTGGAGGAAAGGGCGTAACAATGCGGGATGTTGAAGGGGGTACTAAATGTACCAACACAAAACAGAGCATGAAGCAACCGATATAGATTGGATAAGTTTTTGTTTAGGGAAGACCTGGGTAAATACTGGTTATCTTGAGGTTATCTTGAGATGATTTAGGGGCATTTTAGTGTCCCCGCGGCCCGGTCCTCGACCAGGCCTCCACCCCCAGGAAGCAGCCCGTGACAGCTGACTAACACCCAGGTACCTATTTTACTGCTAGGTAACAGGGGCATAGGGTGAAAGAAACTCTGCCCGTTGTTTCTCGCCGGCGCCTGGGATCGAACCCAGGACCACAGGATCACAAGTCCAGCGTGCTGTTCGCTCGGCCGACCGGCTCCCGAAAATGGAATGGAAACTTTTTTATTTCCATTTGTGGAACAGGTTATCAGTCCACATAATAGACGTGAGGTCACTTTCACATGTAGTTGGACTGAAAATTTGACTGAAACGCCTCTCTGTTTTCGGAAATATTCAAATTTCAATCAAATTATGAAATATTGTTGTTCAGTCCTGTAATTATATCGTTTATATGTATGGTAAAGAACGCAGGTCCCAGGAGAGAGAGAGAGAGCCTTTGGGATACCCCAATAATAACGCTGTCCTACTCGGACTTCACTTTACATAAGCTAATTCTGTGTTCTTGGAAATAACCGTGTGCTTATCCCGCCTAGCATCCCGAGGGAGGGGTGTGTGCCGGGGTGTAGCGGTGGGGGGGGGGGGTTCGTAATACTATAAGCCTCTACCTTCCTCATCAGTCTTTCGTGAGACACAGTATCAGAAGCCAAGGTCAAGTGGCAAGGTGCGTGACGTCACAGTCTTGCCCTGTTATTAACTACCTGTAATATACTGGACAAGAATGTGTCGACTATGAGCGGCCCTTTGTAAAGCTATGTTACAACATTCTAATTCTAAACAGTCATTTGTCTCAAGATCCCCCCTGTTTTATTTCTCCAGTTAATTCCATACAATTTAAAGTCAACAGGCCTTGGTGGCCTAAGCGTTTCTGCCCAACTATGTCTTCCTTCCATTCGGTTGAGATTTGGTGGCCTATATATCTCTTATTGTAATTAATTAAATTAAGAGTATCGTTCATTGTAATCATTTAACTCCAAATACATTATGAGTGATTCTAATTCCCAGGATTATTTTGACATCATTCTGCGTACCGCTAGAGTGCACTTGTGTTCACTCTTATAATTATATGATTATCATTCATGTTAATGATAGTAAAATTATAATTAATAATCCAAATAATTATATGCCAGTGATTGTTGGTTGCAAATAGGCGTTGTCTGGCATGATTCTATAGGCCTACTTCCACTCTGGTGTCTCAATGTTCGCTTACGGAATATTAACGTAACAAATTATTTAAATAATATTGCTTTGTATTTATGTGAAGAATTTGTGGATCGATTAGCTGTATGTGTACCTGTGTAAGTGTCGGTCGACATGTGTACACATCGTACACTCACGCGTGTAAAACTCTCAGGCAGCCCAGTAATGTGCGCACATGTACGCAAGTGAGAACGCGGTGGGTGTGAATTTATATATTAGGGGAAGCTTGCGTGTGTGTGTGTGTGTGTGTGTGTGTGTGTGTGTGTGTGTGTGTGTGTGTGTGTGTGTGTGTGTGTGTGTGTGTGTGTGTGTGTGTGTGTGTGTGTGTGTGTGCGTGCGTGCGTGTGTGTGTGTGTGTGTTCCAAGGGGGGGGGAGGTAGAGGGTATCATGGAGGGGCCGTGGGGGTGAGGACACCCCCTCTTCCCTCTCGCTGTCTGGTAGTGGAGGGGAGGAGGAGATGGAGGCGGAGCTTGTGTGACCGTGTGTATGTGTGTGTGGCCGGAGGGAGGGGGGGTGATGGGAGGGAGAGAGAGGGGAGGTGGGGGGGTAGGGGGCGGAGCCAGGCTCGCACGCACACACTCACACGCACTCGGCGCTCCCTCGCACACAGTCT